GGGACGGCAAAACGTTGCTGGGGATCTGCCAGCAAAGTGTGTGCGCCGGCTGCACACGACAGGTGAAGGCAACCCTAACCTTCGAAGAGAAAGGGCCGCTGCTTTGCGTGGAGCAAAAAGGGTGCCATGGGAAACTGCAGCCCCCGCGCGGCGGCTGCTTGTGGACATGCGCGGAGGCGTGCGCTTTGGAAGGGCTGGAGGAGAAGCGTCCAAAGGTCACGTCAAAGGATGTGCGAGAAGCCTTGAAGGCCCAGAACTTGAGCCTACGATGCAGCAATACTCAACTGCACAACTTTGTAGTGCGATTCAACAACGCAGGCCCACCACGCTCTGCCAAGAGCAAGGTGACGTTGAGCGAGCTGCAAAACGCAGCGCTACAGCACACGTGCCCCAACATGGAGGCCTGGCAGACTTGGAAGGTGTCGCAGCTCCTTGTCTTGCCGTCTTCAACCTTTGAGGCGGACAGGATCTGTGTGATGTGGACCTGTCCGGGCATGCTGAGACACGCTCAAGCTCTGCAAGAGAAGGTTGTGAACCTTGCAGTTGACGCAAAGCAAAAAGTTGTTGCCAACGAGTACGGCATTGCAACTTTGTCCTTCTTGGTAAGCAGTGCGGTGCCAAGCAAGACGTGGGCCGGGGCCACGCACACCAAGTCCACTTCGGCGCACACAGCAACACAAGAGCCATTCCTGCAAGCGTTGGTGGACACGGAGTCAGAGGCCAACATGACCCAAATTTTCACGGAGGCGTGCGAGCTGGCTGAGAGGCACTGCGGCCTGGACCTCCGCGCGCAGGTTTGGCAAGTTCATAAGGACTACGCGAAAGGCATCGAGGCCTCGCGCCGCAAAGTGTTTCCTTACGCACGCCCATGTGATGACTATGCTCACATGCGGCGAGCAACCTACAAGGGCATGCAGAAGTACTTGCCGGCCAAGAAGACCCCAAAGGTGAAAGCGCCGGAATCTCAGTTTGTCAATCAAGGAAGAGCAAGCAAGACAAACAGGCTCGTGTTGTTGCAGTTGTAGAATTGTGCAGATGTGTACCGAGAGCAAGCGCCGTCAACTGCGCAGGACACCCAAGAACAAGGGCAAGAAGCGGGGCGCCTCGTCAAGCCCGGAGAGACCTGCCACGCCGGCTGCAGATTTGACAAGCACGCCGGACGGGAGCACCTTTGGCTACTGGGAGAGAATTGTCCAGATTAGCCGCGAGGTGCCGACTGTGCAATTGTTCGATGCGGTCTGGCAATTGGCCTTCCCGTGGCTACGGAAGAAAAGTGCGCAAGCTGCAGAGTACTTTCAGCACACGTACTTTCAGAAAGTGCCAGTTGGCAGTCTGCAGAAAGGCTTCAGCTGCACTTCTACAATTTGGGGGGCAGAAGGACTTTGGTTCAGTGGCTTCTGGGGAGGGATCTTGGGAACCTACCCAGGCAGCAGCTCAGGAACGCAAACACTGGAGTCCTTTCATGCATACTGGCAAAGCAGCATCAAGGCCAAAGCAAGGGTATCACCGACAGAAGTCTTTGCCTCTATGCAACAGCTGTTTGAAAACGATTGGGCATCCAGGTTTGCATGGGAGGAGGAGAAGACTTTCGTGACATGGCCCGCCCGCTGCGCAGATGCATTGTTCAACAGCAAAAGCCTGCGGTCCGCGGGCAGATCCCCTGCGAGCCGCGGCTGTGTGGCAATCGCAACTACCGCCAGGTCTACATCCGCACTGGGGAAGCAGGCAGAACCGATGTGGACGGTGTGACAACTTTCTGGGTTCTGCAAAGCAGACTGCAGGGAGGCGTGATGCCTGCAGAGGCGGTCGTGACGCCGCAAGTGGCCGAGATGGTCGCAAACCTCATAGCTTCCGAAGGCCCGCAGCTCGAAAAATGGTTGTGCAAGGCTGGCATTGCCAAGGATGGGGAGTTGGAATTGAAAGCGTTGCAGAAGTACATGCAGCAGTACTGCGCAGTGTTGGAGGGGCATCTTGCACAAGCTTCCTGGCCCCGCGTGCGCCGCAAGCTGAAGAAACCAGTTCCAGGCAAGCTGTGTACATGCCGTGAGTTCTTGCTACATGGAGATTGCGAACATGTGCTTTATGTCAAGGCGCTGCAAGATGACCCCACTGCCGACATGCGGAACATTCCAACCCAACGACGCCGGGGACGCAAACGCAAGACCTGGTGAAGAAGCCACTTTGCCACACGCCTGCGAGGAAGCCATTTGGCCACATGCCCCGTGAGACAAAGGCAGCGTAGTTTCATTGAAGCAAGTGTGCTACACCTGCCTTTCCAAGCTTTGCAAATACGCATGTCTTCCCCTTTGCGGCTAGGCGGTGGGTGCGGCATCACGTCGAGAGCCCGGTTGCGCCAAGGTGCACCAGGCCCGTGAGTCAGGGCGGTCGGTGAAGCAACAAGGGGAGCGGCTGCCGGCCAAGAACATTTCTCCGAGGGAAGCAGTTGGTGTAGGCTTCGGTCACAGGCCTTGGTGAGGCAGCAGAGTGTGCCTGTGTGTGT